TGATGTACCCCCTGTCACTAGCAGCATCAAGACGTCGCCTGTCCCAGCTGCTGGAGTTGCGTCATTGACCAGAGGAGACTTCAAACAGTAGACTGATGAAGAATGCCATTGGTTAGGCAATGCAAAATACGACCTGGGAGACAACACTGGTACAGTGGACAATGAAAACACATCTTGGGCTGCATTTCATGCTAGCCGACAGCCACCAGAGGGTAGAGTCATCTGCCCCATGTCTCTGCTTCCACTCTTCTTGGAAAGTGCCCACACTGTGGCAATGATCAAGCATTCAATGGACGTTGTGAAGAAAGCTGTAGAACACCTGAATCCTGGACAGACACCAGTGGTCACATTGGATCAGCCACTGTTTGCTTTGGCCAAGCTGATAAAGTGGAAGTGTCCAGAGAGTTATGGTGAAGACCATATAGTGGTGATGTTTGGTGGTCTCTGCATAGAGATGGCAGTACTGAAAACACCGGGGGACTGGCTGCAAGGAAGTGGTTGGGTGGCAAGCACTTGTGCAAGCCGAGATTGCGACACCAAGGACAGCAGACTCATTCCTGCGAGCATCTCATGTCTTGCGAACAAGAAGAGCACATCAAGTGACTGCAGCAGCACAGTACATCCTGCCACACCATGCCTATGACCACTAGTGTCTGGGAGAAACCAGGGATGCAGAGGACATTCCCGCGTTTGAAGACTGGTGATGCCAGAGACGAGACAGCATCTCCCAGTTTCGCTGCTGGGCAGCTGTGCTGGAACAAGAACTGTTGGTTCTAGTGTATGTGCGTCCTCTCAGGCAGGGATCATTGATGATGTACCTCGATGCTCTGACAGAGCTGGTCACCTGGTTCCACGCACTAGATCCTACCCACTATGCTAGGGGGATACCAGTGCACCTGAAGAACATCGCCAAACTCACTACCAAACACCCAGACGTAGCCAGGAAATTCAGTGAAGGCCATTTCACAGTTGAGAAGACACAGAGGGTGTTCTCTTTAATCCCGATTGACCAGGCACATGAGCAGAATAATGCCTGCGTCAAAGGAAATGGTGGCGCAGTTGGACTTACTGACAACCCTATTGCCCTTCGTCGCTGGGTGGTTGCAAGACCAGAAAATGCTAGGGTGATTGAAGAATTCCAGGACGGGAAAGACGCCAAGTGTACATGCCTCATTTGTGAAAGATGTTCGCTGTCTCGTCGGTATTATAAAGGAGATGGGCAACCCATTCGAGGAGGAGAGTCAGGATCTAAGCATACTGGACACAAAGGACATCTCAGGTCATTCTGCCGCGGAGACAGTGTTGAAAGTCAAGAGGATTGGACTAGAGCAGCCCGAGGCTTTCACCAGAGAGTGTCTATTGGACAGAACAAAGGCCGTGGACGACCCCATTCCTCATGACAAAGCTGAAGGTATTCAGCACTTCCACTCCAAGAAACAAGAGTAAATGTTAGGAACAGTTCGCCTCAGTCAAAAATGACCGTGAACTCGTTGCACGCCTGTACATTGGCTGGCAAATGACTGAGAGATGAAAACCTTGAGGAGTTCTTTTGTCACAAGAACCAGGCATGTCCTCCTGCACTGTCGGCTGGTGGAAACCTCTTCCCTTGTACTAAGAATGATCTCATCACAGGCTTTGAAGAAATCTTCGACGCCAAGACAGAGACTCCTGTCACTAGCTGTATAGTTCTTGATGGAGCAGCCATCGCCCAGATTTGCTGCATTAAATTAAAGACATTTGAAGAGTATGCTCCTAAGATCTTCATCCCATATGGCAAGAAGACTGCGTGGGCAGTCAGGACGGTACTGCCAGAACTCACTGAGGCGCTGCTGCTGGTGTCCTCTGCACCACGTGACATGCCAAACAATGCAATGTCCATCATCAAGAGGTTCGTGATTCTGTTGTATGATCGAACCAGCAAATGCACGGACAATGACACGGCCAGGAGGAAACTCTTCGCAAGGAAGAACGATGTGCTGCTGATCCCTCCAACGTAGGCAGCTTTAGAGGAACATGTCAAGAGGGGAGTGTATTAGGATGGAAATGTGTGGGGTCAGATACTTTTGCCCGCACCAGAGCTCCCTCCTCAAAACAACTAGGGTTGGTAAATGACTGGAGGACAGTACACACCATACTGGACCAGGCTACCCGAGGCAGCTCACAGCTGCATTGAGCTAGTTTCTTGCAAGTGCCATTTATGGTGTGTGAGACTCTGTAAATGCAAGAAGACTGCCCTCTGTGTGTGTGAAGGGGACTGCACAGGACGATGAGTCCACAACATACTTGTACTTGTGGCAGTGCTGAACTTGTTAACATGACACTGTTTATGTACATGCATCTTCAGTACCGATATACCTAGCCTCAGATTCCAGACCATTGAAGAATGTCAGTATACACCTAGCCTCAGAAATTAGACCATGTAGCATGTTAGAAGTGTACCTACGACATTTACAGACTTAAGACTTTTACACCCATTTAACATGCTTTCAAAATAGAGTCGATAGTGCCGTAAAACACACACTCAATCAATCAATCAACATGCTTTCATATAATCATTCTTTTCAAAGTATCGTGTTCAATCTATTATTTTCCTAGATCATTTTATAAAACAGAGTGTGAAAGATAACATTACGTTGAAATTGGTGCCATATTGGATTGTGCATTGAATTGTGCATTGGAATAGATTTGTGCATTAGAATTTTAGATTTGTGTCTTTGATTTAGAGTTGTGCATTAGATTGTTCATTGTATTGTGAAATTGGTATCATAGGATTCCTTGCCCCCCAAAACATACATTTAGACACCAAAATGAAGTCAATAGCAGCATTTGACCCAGGGATACTCGCAAATGTAGATTTCAAATGGCGGCCATTTTGAAATCCAATATGGCGGCCATAAAGAGAGAAATCCGAGTGGCCCAATATCTAAAAATGTTTGCAATATATTAAAAAACATCTGTGCCAAATTTGGTGCTTGTATCACAAAATGCACAATCCTTTTAAATTTTTGGGCTAAACCGCCCCACTATACACTGAAAATTATGTAAGGAATTAATACTTTCTTGATTAGGGATAATTAGCTTTTCACCCCAGATGCCATAAATATGTATTTTCAGCAACTGTGGAATAATATGCAGACTTACCGACTGTCCTGAATTTCCCAGGATTGTCCTGGATTCAGTAGTCGGGAATTTAAGAACCTTATCACACAGTCAACACCAAAACCAGTCCGGCATGATATAATTTTGTTCATTGCACTGTAATCTGATGGTAAAGCATTTGGTGTCCCTGATTGAGTCTCGAAACTGGCAAGCCTTGCTGTGTTGTTTTCTTTTTATTCTTGTTTGGTATCATGTACTTGTGCATTATTCTTAAGGAGGGAAAGTCAAGGACATTGCTGTTTTGAGTGTGTTTGTCTTAAGTGTGAGTGTATTTCAGTGCAGGGATGGGTTGTCACTCCATGAAAGTTTTAGTTGTTTGGGGGGAGGGGGGGGTTGAGGTTTTTGTTGTTATCACTCAGATTTCTCTTGCAGTAAATTCTGTATGTATTGTCATGTTGTATCTGACATTTTGAGAGATGACGATTTCATCACTTCACTCTCGACTAGCGCTTGTCTTTTAAAGTCGTATGTCATAATTAAGAAATATTTCCCTGCTGTGTATGAAAGATATTCATCAGCATAATTTATATTTTCTGCAAGTTAGAATTATTACTACTTGTAGTAAGGCTTTGTGGACACAAATCATTCAGAGAGAGTCCTACTTATGGCCTTTTGAGTGAATTCCTTTTGTTTAGAGCGATGCTCTCTATAGCTTATTTACAGGTTGAAATGCATGTAAAGATCTGTTTTGTCACCTAAAAATCTGTAAATGTGATGGAAGACAAAAGTGGGGACTAGGGCAGATGTTTTATTTTTTATTTTAACCAACTTTTGCTTCATTTGATGAACGATGAGACTGGTACTTTTTTAACTCATTCGCTACATATTGTTTTCGGCTAGTGGGCGAATTTTTTTTCGGGAGGTCGAATGAGATGGTGACTAGTGGGCAGTTAAAAGGTTTTTGGGGCCACAAATTCAAATAAATATCAACATATTATATACCAATATTTTCAGTATGGTTTGTAGAATATATCTGTAATGTTTATTTGTGTATTTTTCAACTTTGGTTCCTGTAAGAGGCAATTATGCAAGACAATTTTGATTGGATGCGGATAAAATTTGAAACTCAAAAAATATGTTTGCACCTAGTCAAATGATGCATTAAAATAACCATAAATGAATATAGAACTGGAAAATATTGAAAAGTTTGCAGTAATTTACATACATTCCATAATATATGTACATTTGGATCATAACACCCGATATTGAAAAAAATTTTTTTTTATTTTATAATCTTGAAAAACGATCACACAGAAAATACTCACTCGTGGAATTATTCAGAATTGCATTTGGAATAAACCTATACATGTCTTGAGAGGCACTTTTTGTGTAATTTCATTTAAAAAGTAGTGATTTTGCGGAGAAACAAATATTTTTTGACAATTTAGATCTAGACCTAGATCTAGCACTCAAAAATTGATTTCTCAAAAACAGTGCATTGGCAATATGAGTCCAATCGTATCAATATAATAAAAAAAGAGTCCTATATTTCTTCAGCTGGCAAAATAATGATAGATTTTGCTGTGTAAAATTACTAAGACTGGTGTCCGGGCTATAATTTTGGCATCGCGATAAAACAAAGTCGAATAAACTACGAAATCGCGTTTCAAAACTGAAGTTAAACTTCCGATTTTCAGTGGAAACGCTTGACCCGGAAGTCAACATTATATTATGACTTTTATTTTAACATGGATATGTGGATTGGAATAGAATCTAAACTAAAATTGAAGATCAGTTCTTGAGCCGCCGGGTGCGGCTTTAGCGTACTGACGGCACTTTAGCCGCGCCGCCCCCCACGGCTCCGCGTAGCGAATGAGTTAAGACATCATATATTGACAACTGGTGTTTTCTGTTTCAGATCCCCTGTGACTGATTCAGATGAGGAAGACAGTGCTGAGTCTTCGACAGATGAGGAGGAAGAAACTCCAGCCACTGGCGAGGATGGGTAGGTTATAATATAGAATGTCATACATCAAACAAAATTCCCCCACAAGCAGAGACTTGTTGGTGACATGTCTACTGAAAGCAAAATCCTGTTTTTGTGATTCTTTCTTGTCTTTTTCTCTTCTATTCTCTTACCTAAGTAACGGGTGATATCTTATTCACCTTTTTCCTCTGGTTTTTATATACCTTTATTTACTCTTTTCATGCCTTGCACCAATACAGTAGTCCCCAAGTGTGTTTAAGCATTTGTGTAAATACCTAATACAAGGAGTTGAGCTGTATTAAGCTACCAGTACCATTATTCTGATGTCTTGTATAGCATCAGTGGCTATGTGGTTGGGCTCTCAGACTCACAACTGTAAGGTCGTGGGTTTGAATCCCATCAGGGGCCCGACGTTGTGTCCTTGGGAAAGGCACTTTACATGAATTTTCCTCCTTCACCCGGGTCGGAATGGGTACCCAGCTGTAAACAATGAAAGATTTTGTCAGTTTGTTAGTGTTTGAGTGTTTGATCAGCTGCTTGCACTGTATGCCTCCCGGGAAACTGAGAATGTTTCTAAGTTTTCTATGGCCTGCTGGGGTAATAATATAGTGTAAAGCGCATACAGCTTGCTTTCGAGCGGGAATCTGGGCTATAGAAATGCTCTTTGATATCTGTTACGTCTGTTTTGCTATTATTGCAAGGTAAGTTCAAGCATGTAGTCTTCTTGGAAAATGACAAAACATCTTGGAGAGGACATGTTCACATTGCACATTAAAGATCGCCTGATGGTTGAAGATCATAGAAAAGTATGCCTTAGGCATGCCATATGTGCAAAATTCAAAATTTGTAGTTTCCCATGAAAAAGAAATCCTTATCCAACCTGTAAAATTGTAAGACATCCCTTGCACTTCCCTTAATTCCAAACGTATTGACCATGTCGTTCCTCTGAAGCATATCAAGGACGTCAAGATTTGAGAGGAAGGAAGCATTACATGGGCAATCTACTTCCTCCATGTCAATGGCCCAGGCAAAGTTGTATCATACACACTGCTTTAAAATCTTCTGTCAATGCGTAGAAGGCCATACTACTAATTGTTGCAGTTATAATTTTGACTTCTTTTTTATGTATACATGTAAATCAATGTGTAAGGCCTAAATTCATTGATTGATACTGCTGTGTGAAGTGTAATACTAATTGTCAGTCTGTTTGCATTGTATGCTATTGTGACAGTACATTGCCTATCACATTTTCGCTGAATCACTTATTGACATTCCTTTTTTTTTCTGACATTCCCAAACTTAAGAGCAAATTTGTATACTTTTCCTTGCTGCAGCTCTTCTGGTGGAGGGACAAGCAAAAAGTTTCTGCGGTACCTGAACAAAATCACCCAGTCGCGATATTTCCAGCAGGCCACTGAGTACAAGGTCATCAAACGGGCCATGGAAAATGTTAGCAACACACGCCTAACCCTGACTGTCACAGTCAACAGCCTTGTTGGCAAGCTTGCCCTCAACATCCCTCCACCACCGTCAGACCGACTCTGGTTAGTATTGATTGTGATTATGGTGAAATGGTTACAAATTACTTGGCTTGCAAGAAGTTTTTTCTTTTTTTTTTCTTGTGCAACAGCTACTACAACCTCTCTGTGAGACACTCTTTGTCTGTCCTATCTGTCTGTCTGTCTGTCAGTGTCTCTCTATCTGTGTCTGTATGTCTGTCTGTCAGTGTCTGTCTGTCTCTCTTTCTGTTTCTCTCTCTCTCTCTCTCTCTCTTCTCTCTCTCTCTCTCTCACACACACACACACACACATACATACATACACACACACACACACACACGTGCAGCATTTTTTAGGGAGATTAGATGTTTTGTTTTTGTCTTCCATCAGTCTGGTTTTGTTCCTTGTTCGTTGTATATTCTTATTCCACTTTGTATTTTTGACCTGCTTATTTTTGGTATTTCAAATTGTTGTATTCTATGTTTGGCAGCTCTGACCCACCTGTATTTAGATAAATTTTCCATTCAAGTAGGGCCTTTGGCAGTGATTCAGATGAACAGACTGGCCAAGGTAATATTTTTGAATTCGTATGAATAGTCAAGTTGGTGGGATATGAGGCTTAACTTTCCCACTTGCCCAAGGTTTGAGACACATCTGTTCTCCACAGGTACGGTTTCCGTGGCAACCCCCGTTTACGTCTTTCAGCCAAACCTCAGGTTGGTGAGCGAGCAGTGACCATCACTCACATCACAGAATGGATTGAGAAGAAGCTGGCTCTGGAGTTTCAGGTGAGAGCTTTCCCCCCATCTTTCCTACTTTTTGAATATTTGCTGTTTCTATTTTTTTATTTTTTTTTGGTGGATATGGTGGGTTTATTCAGAGGGATGGGGGTGAAGGTAGGGTGTTGGGTGTGGGAAGAGAGAATTGGCGTGTGTAATGCATTCATCAGGTTTGTAGATCATTGAAGGATACCAGGGGTAGTTTTGACTATCTGTCACTTTGTTTCTTCCTTTTGTTGGTAGTCCTTTTTCTCATGCTGATGTGCTTCTTTTTTACTCCAGCGAACTGTACGGGTTCTTGGACTAGCGAAAGTATCTGACTAATGTTTTCTGAAAGAAGTGAACATGCAACAGATTTGGATAAGGACACTATTCTTGGGGATTTTATGTGTCCTCCGAGGATGAACCAAGAACTAGGGCTTGTTTTTATTGTGTTAGTTCGGTGCTACTTTTCCTTCTCAAATTAAGACCATTGAACTCGGATACTTAACTTTGGATTTGTCTTGTTTCAAGAACTGTAATACGCATTCTGGATTTATGTTATTTTTTGGTAAAACTGAGTGCGTTATATTGCCTAATAATATATTATTAAATGTTAACGGTTCACAATATTTCCTCTGATATGAACTGTGTAGATTTTATATGTAAAGTTTTGATAATCTTTTTCTGTATCACAGTTTTTTGTTGTCGCAATAATGAATTAAGAAAGAACATTGTACAATTTTGCTTGTTTTCTACTTTTTGCTTGATGCTTTATAGGTTTTACTTCTTCCTCAGGCACCCTTATTTGTCTGTTGCTTTCCTCTACCTGGTGCCATATGACCGTCATGTTCTGTTTGGCATGTCTATAATGTGGACAAACAAGCTGTGTGTATGTTGTGCACATATTTATGTATTGTGATTTGTCCAGTTTTACGAATGACAAGGGCTCCGTCAGTGCCTTTTTCTCTTCTCTTACTCAAATTTTTAATCCGGTCTCCATTTTCCTTTCAGCGAGTGTTTGTGATGCCAAATATGGATGACCTGGTGATTCCGATCCTGGTGCCTGGAGAAGTGAATGGAGTGACAATCTCTCGCTCCGTGTCCTTATGATATCGCCTGTGACCCACAGACCAGTGATTTTGTCATTTCATCTACCTGCTGATAGCATTCACCATATCTAAGTTTGTTGTTGCTGTTGATGGTCCAGCTTGATTCATTGCCATCCACTTTTGTAATTGAACTCATTTTCTAATGAGCATTATGACGAGATGTGGTTTTTCTTATGCTGATTGGCTGTGTGAGCTCCATCTTGATTCTAACTTTTGTGGAATGAAGGAAATTGTCACGCTTTTTTTGTTCATTCCTTTTTTTTAGATTATGTCTGTCATTATGTTCACGATGTGGTCATGTATTTTTGGCAGTGGTAAAAAAAGTTATCAATATTTTGCTAGTCCTTGTAGCTCCCCTGTATTTTACTAAACCTGAATGCAGCAGCACCAACCATTGCACTACAGTCTATTACTTCTGTCATCTTTTTAGTTAATTAGTTGCTTCAATTGACAAGATTTCTTCTTTGATATGGGAAAAAGTTTTCAAAAATATATGTGTATGGTTATATTTATAGAACTCTTTTTTTACCGTTAGTTTATGTAGCTCATCTCTGTTGTCATTCACAGATTAAGAGCTGTTCATTTGCATGTCTTCTTGCTTTCAATGTGAAAGTGAATCGGAAAGGAGCCAAATTTTAAAATGATGTAATCTCTTGTACGATCACTGCTACATATATTTGAACTACTGGGACATGGATTGTGATGCTTCTCATAAAAGAGTAATCTGTTTTACATGCAACAGGCCTTCAGTTTCTTAAGGGAGAAAAAATTATGTATAATGAGAATGTATGAAATTTGGAAATTTTTTTTTTTTAACTTGTGAAGGAGCTTGGGTTTGTTTAATGTGGTCAGGTCTTGGAGTCACCGAGGTGTCTGAAAAGACCAAAAGCAAATACAAGAGAGAATTTTATGGTTTTGACTGGAAAATGACTAGATGTAGTGAAGACAAAGGGCATGTTTGGCCCTAAAGTTTTAAGTAGCAGCAACTTAAAAAATGTTTGGAGTTTTTTAATGGGTGTGGAGGTCAGGAGACCTTTTTTTTAAAATGGTAGATTATTCGGTATTGGCAAAGTTTGTCGGCTTGGTATAGAAAAATAATGCCCACCTGTTATAAGATGAATCATATCAGAATGATAATGTCTGACTTGTTCACGAGGCAGCTCCTCAGCTCCAGAGCAGATCTCCTTACAATAGCCAAGACATATAGTGAAACTGTTTGACAAAACACAAAGATTCCATTTGAGATCATTCTTTATACACCATGAATAAATTCATCTCTGCATATGTATTAATGTATTAATCTATACTGAGAAGTGAAAATAATATGTCTGCACTATTATTTCTTTTATAACTGCGGGGGGGGGGGGGGGGGGGGGGGGAGAAGATAGACAGTGGACAGCAGTTCAGACTTTCTTTTATACCAAGTGCTGTTTTGGGAGACGGTTTTAATGAGTGCTATGACATGATTGATTTGTTGAGGCTTTTAAATACAATTTAAAGATGATGGCACCACAGTGAGGAATTTTAATTTTTGTTTGGATATCTTCTGGAATTGAAATTGGTTTGCCTGTTGAAGTGGTAATTGCAATTTTTGAATCTCTTGTAACATAGATCTCTCTCATTATTGGTGTTCTGATAGTAGTTGCAAGTCTTTACCCTACCTTGGGTTTTTAGAAAAAATTCCATGGTACTTTTTTCAAACTATTTCCAGGGTCCCCGCAGGGTCGGGAAATCTTGAAAAAGTCGGGAATTTTGAGATAGGTCGGGAAAAAGTCGGGAATTTTGTGATGGGTCGGTAAGTCGGGAAAGTATAGGGCCTGTGTGATGTGCAGCTATCAAGACTGTATGGTTGATGAATCCTAAAGAGGAAATGTAATTGAACCGCTGTGACGGAAGTGTATGTGTGACACCAAGGCTCGATCGGGAAGAATCAAGATCTGCTTTCGTAACCACCCAGAAATTTCCAGGTAATAGTCTGATAGATAACACAACATTTGTAACATGCAGGTTGTGCATTATGAACGCTGTGTCCCCTTGAAAATAAATCAATATTAAAAATTGCCCTCTGCTGTCGCTTGTGGAAAAAAAAAAGAAAAAGAAGTTATACAAGCGTCTTGACAGGTTCGCCCTCGTGACCGGTCAATGAACCTGTGAGTACCGGCGGTCTGAGCGCTCTGAAGTATAGGACTCCTTTATAAGATACACTCGTGGAAGGGGATTGGGGGGGGGGGAGCTGAAGGCAACGCTAGAGGACAAAAACTGAACTTGGAAGCAAATTTTTTGCATTTTGATTACTACTTTAGAGCTCTCTGCAAAGCGCGCGTTAGTGCAGGCCTTGTGTGGAATCAGGATCCGTCATGCCTTGTTATTGAACTAAAGTGTTCGCGTTTCATTGGATGGGGTGATTGTAATTTATATCTATATTTTATTAGCTTTCTGTTCAAGATTGGCAGATTTTCAGTGTCACTGCATCTTGCGCCGCCCCCCCCCCCCCCAGTTCTTACACCTCTCACACTGAATAGTTGTACTTGAGCCATTCTAGTTATTACTCTACTTTGAGTTGCAGCAATGGTTTTCGTCTTCACGTTTATTATATGAATCAGGACACCCAGACTGGTCATTGACAGTCGATTTTCTAGTTCTAGGTCTTTTTTCAGGCTCAAAACAGGATTCATTTGTTTATATAGGGCCTATAGTTTGTTATGTTGGCTAATATGATAATGGGAAAATATAAATAAGTAAGAACAGACTGAAATACCAAAGTCTCTCAAGATCCCAGTGCCACACTGACATGTTGTTGACTGGATATAATGTACCTACATGTGTGTGTGTGTGTGTGTGTATTCACAAACATATACATGTATTATATTAGATATAAATGGAGCACACGCTTTCATTGTTATGTAACGTGTTCCTGGAAAATGGATGAGGCCCCTCCCTTGGAAAATTGAGAAGCTGGTTTGGCAGTCACCCAGTATTATAGTCATCTATTTTTTGAAGACTATACTACAAAATGTACATTTGCATTCATTTATAGACATTTTGACTTTTTATCATTGATAGGTGGGCTTTTTGGGGATCATTCTTGACGCGCCGCGCAGCGGCCTGATTTTTCCCTCGAATTGGGGTCTTGAAAAAAATTTCCAGGATTTGGTGGGGACCCTGTATTTCATAAAAAAATATTTCACAACTATTTAGACGACATGTCTGTCACTGAATTAACTCACTCAGAATGGACTGTTTTTGTTGTGGCTTTGCTAAGACTTTCCATTCTGATCGAACTGATGTACTGTTACGACTGTAGTCTGTCGTCTCTGTGCCTAAAGCCTTGTAGCTGTTGTCTTCACTTTGTCATACTTTCAAAGCCATTTATTATGTGTAAGAGTTCAGTTTGTCTGTTTGGAAGTAAATTTTTAGAGGTTTTTTTTGTTCACATCTTTGAACTCAAGAGCTGAGTCAACCCATCCTCATTGGACAAGACATATATATGTATACACATGTGTGTGTGTGTTTGCATTTGTTTATATATGAAGACACACACACACAGTCACACACATTTATATTTATGTGCATGCGTATAACAATATTTTTTTGAAAGATCAGCTCTGACTGTTATTTAAAAAATGGCTTTTGTTTTATGTCTCACGATCATAAAACAGAACTGATAAGTCTTGGGGCTTATAAAGTTGTTGCTGATGTAAATGTGGGGACTCCATATTGTATTTGTAGATCACTGCTGTTACTGTTCTGAATGTTTTTAGTATCTAAAAGAAAGTCCGGTGGGTCAAGTAATGCCTATGCAATGGGTATTCTTGTGACAAACACAATATCACTTTTGATGTAGTCTAGAGATAAGAATATTTACAAGTCTATTAATAGAAGATAATGTCAGTTTTGGGTTTTTGTTTACGCTACATATGTGTCTCCATCCCTTTTCAGAAAATGATAAAATATTTAAAAATTCTGCCATGTATTATTTCTCTATCAGTTGTGCCAAGTTGGTTACATTTTGACGATAGGGATTGTCTTTTGAATTTGTGAAGAAATAACCTTGGTCAAACAGAGTAAGTGGACTGTTGGCACAGATTGATAGCTGAGACCTAGGTGCCTTATTCATAAGTTGCGCATAGTCCAGTTCGTAGTTGGTAATGAGGCCTTGAGATATTGTTGTCAATGTTCAGTGTAGACCGGAGTTCCAGAAAAAAGAAAACATGATTTAAAAAATGAAAAAGAAAATGAAAATACCCTTACTAAGTTTGAGTACATATTCATGAAAATGATAAAATTCATGAAAATGATAAAACTGTATGGGATTTTGTCTCATTTGTTCATTGTAATGGCTCGCTAATAGCACTAGTTCTTGACTTTGAGTTGTGTAATACTACAAATAATTTTTCAAGGGATGAATGAAAACAAATTGAAATTTTGAAAACCTGATAAAAGTTATTAGATGCCAGAAAGCTGATCCAAAGAGATAGTTAAATTTCAAAGAAATGAAATCACTTTTTCAGCAAAGAAAAAAAAATCACCAAAATGAAACATATATAGTGCGGTGTAGCCCCTGCGCGTGCGCCTTCTCGGTGCGTGCACTTTTGTTTTGAGCTTCAAATTGCATTTTTGCGTTTGATTGTATGCGTCAGTTTGTTTAGCAGCCATTTTTGTTTACTTCCATCTCACGTTTGTCCACAAGGGATCATCGAGAGTGTTTTTATCAGCTGTGGCGAGTTGACTTTTAACACTTGCCTGTGAACTAGTTTTGATGACCTATTTGCTTCTGATTGGTTCAAATAGACTGTGCGCGCCCCCTAGCTTTAAAAATTTGCCTACTCCTTCCTTGAGTGTTTCACGTGACCTTTTATCGAGTTCTATGCCAAGTTGTAATGCGGGTTTCTGGATCGGGGGGTTGCACGCGTTGTGAAGCCTGAAAAAACTCAAGTTTTCTCTGCGCATGCACAATGAATATATAGTAGAATTTTAAGCCAAAAGTAGGCTCAAATCTAGTGATTATTTTGTGCAGCACTTTTCAACTTGAGGAGGTTGCAATGCTAGATGTGTATGATGATATGGATGTGGATGAAGTGATTGTGAACATGGAAGTGGAAGTGGATGAGTCTTCAGATGGAGAGAATGTGGAGGAAGAGCAGTCTTGTTGTGGATGTAAGAATAAGTATCCGTATGAAAGATGGTTGCAGTGTGATGAATGTCATGGATGGTGGCCTGTGGAGTGTGTGAAAGTTGAAAAGATCAGAGGAATGAGTGATGAAGAGTTGGAAAGTGTGGATTTTAGTTGTTAAAAATGCTATTTGATTTGTTCCACTAAGTATTTGAACTATTTGTTCCCCCTAAATTAAATTAGTTTAGATTCAGAGTGAAGTTGCCTTACTTTGCTTCTAAAGTGACTTGTTGTCTTCCTGTGTGGTCATTTAATGCACAAATGTTATCAGATTTCTCTTCTGTTGGCTTTCAACTTGTATATATATGGGTGCACGCACAGTGAAGATTCCCATGCACGCACTGAGAAGACATGCACGCACAGTGAAGAGAACGCCCAAGATCGGAAAAACTGTTGGGCACACAGCGTTTAAGAAAGCTGGCAACTATGAACAAGACTTTTTTATAGGTCAATAGTTTTTTTAATGGAATAACTTAAAACGAAAGTACAAAGCCGGAAATGGCGGAAAATAGGTTCAAAGATCGCGAAGTGCACGCGAACCGGCAACACCACTCTATACATAAAAATTATTTTAAATTACTAAACAGTAGCAGCCAAATATAAAAGACATTTAAGTAAACAGCTGTTAGAATGACCAAGTTGAAGATTTCTATACATAAAATGCAAAAAGACAAGTTCAAATTGAATAGCTCGTAATAGCTGCATGACATAAAGTCACCTTCAGTGGACTAACTCCTGCTGTAACGGATACTAGTCATTAAAAGACATCCCTCAGTGTTCTGAGTGTGTTAAGACTTGCAACTTTTACCAGTTATACTGGATTGCTTTTTTTTTTTTTTGTAACAACAGGCTCAGGTCACATTTAGCAAAATACTTTTTTTTAATGTAAATAAAAAACAACTATTATAACTATTTTATATTGCTTTTACCATCACTATTACCACCTCTTGTGATTATGCCGAAATATATTAAAAGACCAGTCGCACCTTGGGAAATCACTTGAATTATGAGTTTGATCATGTGATTTTTATTGTACAAGTCACTTTGCGAGGCCGTCGTCTGTTTTCAAGATATTTGAAATTTGTATTTATGCCACTGTAAAAGCTTTAGTTAATTTACAACTCCTGTATGAAGCTACCTGAGGGTTGTAATTATTTTCAATGAATACTTTTTAACTTCTTTGCTTTTTGGGAGGGTGTAGAAGAGCACTTATCATGAAATTGATTTCCATACATATATATTTCAGCTGTCTTGTTTTATACACTGAATTCCAACTTTGTATTGTCTATTCTTGAAAATAGGTGAGCATATCGACGTCTGTAGTGTAGTGGTTAAGCGCTTTGCCGTCGAACACAGGAGACCCGAGATCAGTTCCCAAGTGGGGAGAATTTTTGTCAAGTATCTCAGTCTTACTGCTGGGATGTTGTATCCCTCTCAGCCCAGGTTGACCCTGACAGGCAGAACCAGAAATCTGCCTCTTAAATGATCTAAATTCTGTCTATGGGGGTGTAAATACTCCTACTTTTTTTTTAAAGGTGATCATGCTCCAGGAGCTGTTGAGTAGTCTGAAGTCTCCTTCAATAATGTATGACCTCTGTCTTTCTTCCTTGCATCCACGTTTTAAGGAGAAGAGAGGGGAATGGAGGGTTGTAAATGAGCTTAAAATCTAAAATTTTTGTCTGAAATATTTACTTTGCACTGATTGCATCGTAATGTCACAGTTTAAGAAAGCCTTGTGATGCGTTTACCCTACTGTATTGAGATCATACCAGTCTTCTTCCCC